GCTGGTGGGAGTTACTCTCGTACACTCTTCGATTAGACATGTAAGACCAAATACATCTTCTAGATCGTTAAGAATCTTTCCTTCTATACTGCTTGGCTTGAGCTTATTAAGATTTAAATCACCAAGGACCATTACGGTCTGTCTCTTGTGAAGAGCCCATGTGAGTATGTGATTCAGTTCGTCTTGGAGATCCGAGTAATATTTACTGTTGGGTGATCTTGATGGTGGCCTGTATGATCCTAAAACGACCGAGTTATGTTCACCAATCTCGACGTCTAGAGCGAGGGGTTCCAGTGTGCTGTAAGTTTTCGTCAGCTTCAGTCGTTTGATACTTTAATTAATCCCAAGCTGATAAATACATGTTTACCACAGTGTGATTTTCAGTAGCTTTTGATTACACGGACACGGACATGCACTGGAAAGTTTTAGTAATATTAACTTCATCAACGCGAAGGAGTCCTATCCGTCCTAAAGGCCCTTTTTTGTCATGATACGAAAACAAAAACTATAAAGATACGGTTATGAGTTTATCGAACTGCTCCATTGTATAGGTGTTATTACTGTACTTCCGACGAACCAAATGAGTCTATTATTTTTTAATTTGAGATCTATTGATCAGACAAGCAAAATATTCTATTGCTTTAGCATTAGTGCATGGTACGCTGGATTTATAGCTTTCCTAGGTGAGATTCTACTATTCCTATATCGTGCCCTGAGTCATGGATTATAACGCTGAGATAGACAAACTCCGTGATAGTAGATTGGGTAGTCTAGAGTCCTTGTATGTGTTAAAAGTTGAGCTGATGAGAGCAAGGAGAAATGTTTTATCGACACAGCAACGCTTTGGAAGATGGTCAGTGGTAGCAGTAATAAACAGATCGCGCCTCCAACAGCTCACGCTCTCTTACCGGCGGTTGGAGAAATCAGTCAGAGAAGACATAGAGACTATTGATAAACTCGAGGAAGCTCTGATCTCAAGAGTTGCTGCATAGCTTTTCAACATCAACAAAAAACGGCTCTTATAAGAGCCAAAAAAAGTCACTAAAGTCAATGACCGACTGTTGTGCCAACGGATTACATCTTATATATAAGATATAAAAATAAGTTTAAATTTTTCCCACTTGTACCGCTTTATTGTATCATTACATTGCCTTCCTACTACAACTAAATATCAGATATTTTCAGATTGCTAGTTTTTATGGTTATCTATCACGACCCCGACATATATCTGAAGCAAAACAAAAAGCGAATGCCAAAAATTTTTTAAATGTTTATTTTTTATTTTCGTCAAGTTGTGTTCAGGAATACACTAACAATGACAAACAGTTATGATCATTACTAATCCCTCAGCCGAAGGTTTTTTGTTTCATGAACTGTAGTAGGCATTTCTTAATACATATTTTTATTTTTAGGTGTTTTATTTTTCCTTAGGAAGGAGTCGATTGCCTTTCGGCAATCTCTCCAAGCCGATTCCTGTTCCATAGGGGGTACGGGGTAAAATTGCATCATAAGGCTCTTTATTTTTTGAATCCTTATAGGGTCGAGAGCTTTTTTACCCCGCACCCCCTCGACATTCCGTCCCAAAAGTTCGCTGCTCTGGAAAAGCTCTCTTATAAGGCGTACTCCAAAGTTCATCTTTGAGCTTGCTTGGTTTCTAATAATGATTAGCCGTTCATTTGACAGCTCACTGTTGTCAGGAGAACTGAGACATCCACTATCCTCTGTGGCTGTGAAAATGTGCGTGTTGCCTTGTTGTGGAAAATGATGTTCTGGTGTTTGAAATTGTTGTTCTGCAAGGACATGTGTGTTTGATTGCGTGGCAGTTTGTGGCAATGTATGGGGATTTGTGGCGTGAAAGTTTGGCAATGGTGTGTGTATTCGTGTATGAAGAAAGGAAAACAGTTCATCAAATTTTCGGTCGACATAGCTGACGAGTCTTTTTTCCAACTCCCCTATAGCCGCTTCAACAGGATCGAACTGTGTAAGTTGCCGCTGTACTCGGTAACGTCGGGGAGTTGGGGGTGAAAAATCGTCATGAAAAAAAGGACTACCAGGCAAAGAAGGAAGCGGACTATAATGGAATGATGATGACAAAGGGCTGGGGGATCGCATGGAGCGTTTTGGTGTTGTAGTGTGATGTGAAGTGCTGGAGGATAGTGGAGATCCAGGCAGACTGACAACGAAGGTGTCATTCATTAAATCCCCAGATGGTATTTCCTATGGAAGAACATAAAACAAGAAGTTTAACATCAAAATGAGATTGCTTTTTATTTTTATATGACTTTAAAATAGCTTACCGTTTTCTTTTCTTCAACACTGGCGTCCTTTCCAGGAGAATAGCGACAAATTACAGTGGCAGGCTACATAATAGTAATAATAATAATAAACGCTTGAGAATACATTCATGCCAAATTAAATTTTGTACGTAGCTTTTTTTTTTTTTTTTTTTTTGAGGAAATTCCAACACATTGCAATGACTTACCTTTTTAGCTGTTTTTGCAGGCTGTGGCCTCGCGGTCTTGGCTGCTGCCCTCCTATCAGTTGGTGTCTAAATAAATGATATCATTATTTTTAGATAGAGTATCAATTTAGACCGCGGTTATTAATCCGAGATCTTTCAACTCGCACAGGTGAAGCGATTTTTTTTGGAAAATTTCTAGCAATGTATCTTGACAAGTTCATCTTTGTAATGAAATGAGCTTGACACATGCACTGACTTACTTTCTCATCTTTCTTTGCTTTTTTTGGTTTCGTGTTATCACCGGCAGTTGATTCCTAGATAATTTATACTAGTTTAGTAAGGTTATAAATTATCTATTTTATTTTATCCATCTAAATATTCACTTTTTGGGCATGCGCTCGTCTTCATTATTTTCAGTCGTAATACTCACCTTCTTTCTTTTCCTCGGCTCTTTGACAGGTTTCTTCGCCTGTATATGCAAAAACCAAGATGAGATACAAAATACTATTGCTGATGATTGTTTCATTAAGAATTGGTTGCCACACAAAAAAAATTGCGCGTTCACACAAACTTTGCATTTCATTGAGAGTAAAAAAAATCTAAAAAAATCTAAAAAATAGAACCGAAGTTAGTGTTTTTGGTTACGAGTGACAAAAAAAAAAAAAAAAAAAAAAAAAGAAAGAAAGAAACTGACGGAACCCTGCCTGTTTTGAAGGAGGATAGACCACTTGAATTTGGATGGCAAAACGCGGCACCATAGTTAATAGATTAACTATGGCGGCATATTCAATTAAGTGGAAACTGGTATGTCCCTAAGTGTTATCTTAAAAAAAATCACGATGACTTACTTCTTCTTCGTATTCTTTTTCATTTTCTCCTTCTCCTTTCTCTTCTTCGTTTTCTCCTTTTTCTTCTTCTTCAAACAAATGGCGGTTTTCACTATCGCTCAAAAACTGACTTTCTACTTCACGTAGCTTTTGAACATCATCTACAAAAAAAAATATTGTGGTCAGTATATTGCATAGCTGGCCTGAAATCATGACAAAAATTACATGCAACTCACCTTCCACTGCGATTATTTGTGCCTCTAAAGGTTCTTTGAGGGTTCCATATTTTACTTTTACAAGGCTGCCAGGTTTGGTGTTGGTTCCAATTAATACTTTACATATATTTGAGATCTTAACTATACTAACAGTCTTATCGCATTTGAAATAAAATAGGCCGTACTTGAAAACCTTGAGCTGGTTGCGTAGAGAAATGGAAGGCATGATAGTTAAACGACTAGGTGAAACTAAAACGCAGTTCTGAGGCTGTCTGTGCGGGTAAACAAGCAATGCAGCGCGGCTTATTTTTATATCGAAATCAGGACAAATAAAATAGTACTGCAAAAGAGACGCAAAGAAATCCAATGTGCGATGAAGCGCGGTTTTTGCTGAAACAGGACAAAAGAAATAAAACTGCAATCACAATGATCATCATACTACCAAGAATATGAAAAGGGCCGATGTGCGTATTACACGTAAGATAATACCGTCAAATACGGGTTTAGACAAAAAGTTGTTAACTACCGGAGACTCGTCTTGGTTGATAAGGAATGTGTTAGCTTTTTGCTTGATGTTTCAATAGCCATTCCTACAAAGGCAGTATCAAAGCTAAAATATTGTCAGAAAGCCGTCGGTTGAAGTTCTCGTCGAAAATACATGTAATGGCCATGCAAGAAAGCCTGCTTAACAAAACATGCTGTTCTACGAGGTTGCTTACCCTGTTACCGTAGTCATTTACGGTGCGTACAAGATAAAGACGCCAGACGTTAAGAAGTTGAAACCGATGCGACATCCCGGTAATTG